AAAAGCACTTGCTGTAGTACAAGCCTGAAAGCCTCCTGTAGCCCACGGCAGAAGGAGAGAACTGACTTCTGAAACTTGTCCTTTAACTTCCATACACGTGCCATGGTACAAGTATCCCCCCACCCACCACACACAATAATAAATTTTAAAATAAATTAAAAAATAAAGTCTATTCAAGATAAGGTGAGTATATAAAAGTACCATCAGTTTTCTGTCAAAAACGATTACATCCTGTTACCTTGTAAAGTTCTACACTGATGCCAGCAGCCATTTTTCCACCGTAAGATTCTGAGAAAATGTAGAAGGGAACCGTCTAGCAAGAAAAGGAATTTACAAAGAATTAAATAACACCACATAACATCAATCTGCTTTTGTCTTTCCTCTCAAATCTGAGTACGATGTCAGGTTAGATGACAGAAATCAAAGGCCCACAACCCAGTCTTGGAGAAAGTATCTGAAAATCAGGTGGCCCTGAACTCTTGGGAGAATTTAACCTTCTTCTGAGGAATGCACTGGCCTTCCTGCTGGTCCTTCTTGACACAGCTGCAAAATTACCTGGAATTCTTTATGGCAATCAAAGAAAGACTTGAGGAGAACCATCATGTCTGAAGCCACCGTGGACAGGTCCTTGGCGTAGGCATCACTCTTGTTCACGTAACTGAAGCCAGTGCCCACAGGATTATCTACAAACAGGAGACTGGCAGACTGGAGCTGAAGGCACCGAGGAGAAACATGTGTTGCAATCAGAGACTAGTCACTAGTTCCTGTCCCATCACCTAACAGCAGCTCAGCAAAAACCACACACACGATACAACGACAACAAAAAACCCAAGGTAGACATATACACACATACATAAAATAAAGGCATTTTAAAAAGGGACAGGAGCATAGACTGAAATGAAAAAAGATGAGACAGATGAGAAACACATAGGAACAAAGATTTTTTCTTGAGACAGGGTCTTCCCGTAACCCCAACTGGCCTAGAACTCACTATGCAGACCAG